TGGTTTCGTCACTCATTCTTCACCTCGATAGAGGTTTTTTATTTGATTTATGTACACAACAGCATCAAAAACAACATTTGAAGTGAGTGATTTTTAAGGATAAATCATCGAGAGAAAAAAGGCGTGTTTTTTTACGTTGGGAGAAAATATATGAGTATAATATAAGTATATAACTTTTTGGTCAAAATGACATTCGAATTGAATGTATTTCATATTATAATTTACTCCGAGATTTTAATTAAAAATTACAATTTGTTGTTCCTTATTATAGAAGTTGAAGCAAGTTTTCCGTATCGAGATGTGCAATTGAAAAAAGGTTCAATATCAAAAGATATTTATGATGTTTCATCAGAAGAACTTGGCAGGTAAGAATTCATTTTAGTTGGCTTAAATAAGTTCAATTAACTACTTTTTCATTATAAAATCAGTTTCATTTTTTATATATCACATTTCTTTTTGGCGTAAATTTTTGTAGAGGTACATATGGTACGGTATATGTGTGTAGAGAAAAGACAACAGGGCTTCAGCTTGCGGCAAAATTTGTAAAAGTCACCTGCAAAGAGGATCGACGTAATATGGAGAGAGAAATAGAAATTATGAGCGGATTACATCATCCCAGAATCATACAATTGTACGATGCATTTGATGATGGATCAACTATTATTTGTGTTTTGGAATTGTAAGTTCAGTATACAATGAAATCTTCCATCTGCGATCATTACGTGCAACCCAATTGATTCGCTTTTTGTTCAGAATTCAAGGTGGCGAATTATTCGAACGGGTTATCGAAGAAGATTATGTTTTAACGGAAAAGGCGTGCACAATTTTTATTCGGCAAATATGTGAAGGGGTAGATTTTTTGCACAGTCGTGATATACTCCATTTGGATTTAAAGCCAGAAAACGTGTTGTGTTTATCACGTCAAGGGAATCGCATAAAACTCATTGATTTTGGTATGTCCCGTCGATACGATCCCACAAAAAAACTACAAATTTTGTTCGGAACCGCTGAATTTGTCGGTATGTTTACTTTCTGACCTTATGAAATGAATACTATGTATTTATTATTTTACTTTAATAACTAATAAAGCTAATATTTTTTTAAAAATTAAAACAGCGCCAGAGATTGTATCGTTTGATGCGATATCGCATTACACCGATATGTGGGCGGTAGGTGTAATTTGTTATGTCCTTTTATCGGGCTTATCACCATTTATGGGAGATACAGACATAGACACCATGACAAATGTTACACTTTGCAAGTATAATTTTGATGACGATGCATTCAATCAGGTTTCGGATTGTGCCAAACATTTTATACAACAGCTTCTGCAAAAGGATGGAAGGTATGTTTTTTTGCTTTTTGGCACATTCAAATCGTGTGAATCAAATATAAATTAAGAAATCACATTTCAATCGGTTCATTTTGTTCACAAAATTATTTTATTAATTTTTTATTTACAGCAAACGACTAACGACACAGGATGCTTTGAATCATCCATGGTTAATTAATTCAGCATTCAATACAGAATTACATGTGACAAAAACCAAATTAAAACGTTATGTCATTAAAAAACGGTGGATCAAAGCCGTTAATACGATAATTGCACTTCGACGAATGGGAGCAAAAATTGATTTTGATTTAGTTTAAAATTACAATAAACACACTGATTACCAAAAAGAAGAAGAGAAACTTAATTTTTATTGAATTGGCAAGCATTGCATTGTTATTCATTAACTAATTGTATTTATTTTTATTATTATTGAATTTATATAAATGTTAATGTCATAAAAATTAAATGACAAACTATTTAAAAATGAAATTTGTGTGATGATTCATTGAACATTTAATTTCAATGAAAATGGTTATTGTTTAATTTAACGAAGAAATAAAAAATAATGTTTAGTGAAAATGTCTCGAGCCAAACGATGATCAGTCTCGTGGTCGGTCGATCTCATGGAATAATAATAAATCAAACAGTCGAACGACATTGCAAATCAAGTTAATCATTTTGATCGGCGGTAGCAATTTGCAGTCTGATAAAAAAATTTAACCCAAAAAACAAACACCGTAAATAAAGGTTTCCGTCGAATGAGGACATTATTTAAGAGTTGACCAAGAATGAGCACCTTGAATGCTCAATGCTGGCCACGTCGTCTGTGGACATCGGCATTTTCATTCAGCATTTCAATGGATGCGACAACGCATCTATCGTGAATTCCATGTATTCATTGCGTTGTGTGAATGTTGATTGTGAATCATTTCAAGAATTTTTACATCATTAAGAGGTATTCTATTTATTCGCTAACAAGCATACCTGAACACAAAAGTTTTGCGCGTTGCCTCGTTGTTTGGACGGTTTTGTTTTCTTCTCTTTTCGTTTTGCTTTTGCATCGTGTTTTCGTTTTTGTTTTTCGGTAAATTATGTGTTATCACTTTCTCATAGGCGCTGGTGCACAAAGCCAAAGAGCGCGCGCGACCTATTCGTTTATCTCTCTTTTTGTCATCAAAACGCTTTCCGCACAACAACAATAACAACGATATATCACAAATTCAACATAGTGAAATGGGAAAAAAACAGAAAAAAAGAGAGAAAAAAAAACGAAATATTGTTGGTCGATGAATTTGAACATCAATCGAACTATTCCCAATCAGAAGTCGACATTTGTAATCTTTTGTCTGCATGTCTTTTGTATGCAATAATATTGCGCACCATTGGACGGGGCAATTTTAACGAGCTCATCCATCGCTGAATTGCGGGAGGAAAAAACAGATACCGCAACCAGCTTTGAGAAAGTGTGCGTTTCTTTTTTATTTCTTTCGAAATGTTAAGTTGGATGTTCGATTTAATTAACAATCTATCGCACAGGTTGATTCAGAACCGCATTGACAAAGGCAGCACCGTTGCATTCTATGTGTCTGCGCGACCTTTCTGAAAAGGAAAAAAAAACACAAGAATCAATATGCATGGACAAATGAAAAACGAAAAGCACAAAAAACACAAGATTTCCAGAGGATTGAACAAAAAAACCATTTTATTTCGAAAAAATGTTTAAATAAAAAAAAGACAAACACATACATGTCTATTTTAAGTGGTAAGACACAAAAATACCCAATTAATTCTTTTTGTTGTCGCAACATTGAAAGGCGCGCGCATTGGTGGTTCGGTTAAAAGTGAACGTGTGATTCAACTAAAGAACGAAAAGACAAGTAAGGCGATGCACAATGAAATCAACACACACACACACACACAAATTATATCCGTATGGCAAACCATACATAAACGATCTTTTGGTCTAGATTTTTTGGTGCGTTGTATGAGTTTTTTCGATTTCTTTATTTCTGTTTTATGAACCGAATGCATTGGATTTCTTTTCTAATTCAACATTTTCATATGTGTTACCGTATCCTTTTATTGGCTTTCGATTTTTTTGTGTAGTTCGCTCATTGTTAGTTGTTTCAGTACAATATTATATCAAATCAATTCATTTAGTACAGAATCATTTGAACATTTCATCGTTCTTTTTACTTTTCCGCACACACCCAGTGTGTAAGGTAAAGTATTGGAATCGGTCGAAAAATTAACACCCTCAAAAAACATGTTTTCTGGGTGTTTTAGGAGCCAGGGAACACGAATCAGTCAATTTTTCGATGTCCGAATGTATGTGCGTGGTACCCTGTACCCTGTATCCTGTACCCCGTACCCTGTACGCTAAAATTTGTTAACACGATAACTTTCAAACAAGAAAAGTAATTCAAAATCTGACTTCACTAGATGATTGGGGTGCCGAGGAATAGAAACCATTAGATTTTGAGCGACTTTGGTTGATAGAGTGACGTGTCATGTCTGGTGTGATGCCCATGGCCATCCATAGGAAAAATTCAATTTGAATGAAAAAAGTGATATTTAATGTACTCTTAAACACTCAAAAATATGTATTGGGGGGTTTTTGGGTACGAGAAAACCGAATATGACGTTAGTTTTGCGATACAAATATATTTTGACACACTTTTCATTGAAAAATTTCAAAAATTTTGATTTTTGTATGAAAACTTTGCACAGATTATTTTTTTCACGCAAAAATAACATTTCGAGAGTTTGAAGAGATTTCAATGCAAATCAGGGGTACCTCCCGAAGAAAATTTTGGATTTCTTGCTCAAAAACGAAAATTTTGTATGAAAACTCAATTGTATTGAAATTTCTTCAAATTTTCAGAATGTTAGCTTTTTGTGAAAAGAATAACATCTGCAAATTTTCACATGATTACGATATCATACAGGCATTGAAAAGTCGTTCAAAAATTATTTGTATCGTAAAACTTGTATCAGATTCAGTTTTCTCATGAATTCATATTGACGGTAAAAGATACGTAATGAATGCATGTTGTGGATCACAGTGCGGAAAAGTTCATCTTACGGATGTAAGACATTTTATTTCCTCTCATTTCGTATCTTGAGCAAAGTCAGTGCGAGTGAATAACCAATTATCTTCAAAGTGTCTGGAATTGTGTGAAAAAGGGCAAACTTCAATTGAACAAATTGTTACGCACGTTTGCCTGTAAAAAAAATCAACGAAATGAAAATAATGGTAGTTTATGCGTTGATTTTCTTCTCCACTTGTTGAAAATATGCTTGTATCTATTATTTTGTATAATTTCAACACGTTTTTATTGCCTATTGTGTCAACCACAGCAACAATTTTAATATAAAAGAGCCAACCACAACAATTTTTTTCATCAGCACTTCAACATAAATTGTATTCGTCTTAAATTTAATTAAGTCGAGCATAGCATTCCGTTTTGAATTTATATTAAATACATATGTTACCACAGTACATGGTAGCTGATCTCAATCTTCTCTATATACACAGTTGAAAATAATGAAAAATCACTTTATAAAATTGAGTAGGATGCAACCGCTTCACTTTTCTCTGCCGTCATTGGCGATGATAACAAATATAATTTCGATTATTGTATAAATCCTATGCGAAATCAACGTAAGAGAGTCTATGCTGATGTGGAAATTTATTGTCAGATGGCACGGTCAGACGGTGTAGCGCGCGTGTGTATGAGTATTTGTGGATATCAAATTATATTTTGTACTCCTTTTCACGTTTGCATCACAATTTCTTTATTATTATCATTATTTTTTTTGTTCAGATACCGGTTTACACACACTTTGCACGGCAGCAATGGCAACTCACATATATTCACAATTTGCAGTTGCGCGTTTGTTCGATCGGTAAATAGTTAATGATCGTTAATATAATTCCACCACATCAGCTTTCATGAAGGCAAATTTTATAGCTTTGAGTTCACATCGACACAAAACGACATTAATCTTTAAGTCGACTGAAACTAAATGAAGCGAAGAAGGAAAAAAACTTATGATATAAAAAGAAAAGGAAAACAAAAAAACGCTATCGTCTAAGAGAGCCAGTCTCCATAAAAATGGTTGAAGACGACAATATTGCTTAATGAAATGAACCATGCGCCAGATAGCCCAGTGGCGGATAGCTATAATCGATCGCATACTACAGAGACTTACATGAACAGTAACATAGGCAAATAATCGCACCTCATCATAATCACTCATCATTTTAAATGCAAAATCACAGAAACCACAAACGAAATGAAAAGGCAACGATGACGATGATGACGACGACAACACCGTAATATGAGCGAAAGCGAGCCAACGAATTACGAAAAAAGGATAACATCAAAAATATACTTCAACGACTATTATTGCTATTAGCTTTGAGCATAATATACCGAGTTGAGAATTATATTTGGTTTGATGTGACACCAATGTTCTCTGTTCTCTGTTCTTACATTTATAGTAATTTAATACGTGCTTTAAAAGAAAATATAAAATCTAATCTTGAACAAAAGTAATTATTGAAGGATAAGCATAAAACTTAAGTTGAAAAATATTAAACATAAACAATATATTACATTGAAAAGATATTATATTGAATAAACAAACCAATATCAATATATAAATCGTTAAATCAGTAACGAAATATTACTCTATTTCTCTTTAATACGAATTGCCCTCTCTTTTCAATTTTTGCACTAAAAATGAAGAGGAAGTATTCTTTTGTTTACATTTTTCATGCAAAAGTGCGATCCATTTGAAAGAGTGAGTTTTTAATTTTACTTACCAGTGTATTAGAGGGTAGGAACATGTACATTGTACAAGGAATTGCAATTGAAAATTCAATCAGTAAATCAAGAACGCATTTTTCATGTATTCTTCTTCATTTCCGGATATTGCTTGTAACACAGAATCGCATTGAAATTGGCGTTTTCAGTCCGAAATTTATATCAAATTTGATTTTAACAAAAAATGATATTAATGATCTTTAACAGTAATTATGCGGAAAATTCGAAGAGACATGTATGCTCAGTTTTCCATCTACTTTCGAATGAAATCGGTCTCCGGCGATTTAAGAAATGTCTTGGAAAAAATTTGCCGACAAACAAACAAACCATTTCAAAAATTTCGAGTTTTTTCGTAAGATTTTTTGAAATGATCATATCTCAGACACTTTTCGATCGATTCCAACAATTTTTTTTTCAATCCTCCCGAACTCCAGTTTCCGAATATTCCATTTTTCGGAAAAAAAATTCTGGTTTGGGTGCTCAAAAATGGACAAAACCAAAAAAATTCCTTTTTTTGAAACGCCACCTACCTTAAAAATTTGCGGATTCTTAATTTCGTGCCCGAGCACTACCAAAATATGCAAAAACCCTTTTCCAAAAGTCAGCGGTATCGATTTTCATTTCTTTATAGTATATATAGAGTGACGCAAAAAAACATATCACATATAAATATGTGTATATGTGTGTTGGTATTGCGTCACTTGGGGGACTGCCACCCCCCGTGATATCTCAATGTCCGTTGATGAATAATTATAATTCTCCACTCTGTAGCTATATCAGATCAGACAGCTACAGCTGCACTTCACGTTCACATTGAAGAGAAAAGAATTGAAACGAACGAAAAAAAACTTACAGAGTCACAATTATTTTATTTATAACAAACAGCATACACACTGCGAACCAGATCAACAAAATGTTTCCACTTCAACATGAGCCGCAAAAGAACGGATTTCTATCAATTTCAATCTTTGATACGCTCTCGTTCCTGCTACATAGAAAACGCCTAGATACTCTTATTTTATGCGCGATCATTTGCTTTATGCACAAACATTCGCATTAATTTTGATTTGTGAGCTTGAGTTGCACAGCTCACCTTTTAGCCATGTTGGATTCATTTGTAATTTTTAGTCGAAAACAAAATTGTTTCAATACAGGAATATTGAGAATGTGAATCATACAATCATCGATACATGGAAGATTTTTTTTCTCTCATTGTTTTCGTTTTGCACTGTATTCGACGGTAGTTGTTGAAATGAAACTTAAAGCAGTAAAAAAAATATACTCAGCGTGAGTCAGTCGATCGTTTGAAACACACGCGAAAGATAAAAACAAAAAAGTCAAAGCAATCGAAGTGCATATATTTATCAATAATGTTTCACCAAATTCTCATATCTATTTATAAATATTATAATAGTGTTCATTGAAAAATAATTCAACAATGGAAATATTTTTTTTTGAAAGATAAATCACGATCAGTTTAAAAAAAAATGATTGGCTAATATTCATTAATTTTTCCAAGTAAAAGGGATAGGAGTAATGATAACACAGTAGGTATTTGATTGAATTCCATGCGGTCATTGCGTTCATTCTTTTAAATTTACATAAATCATTCTTTGTTGAATTGAAATTTGGGGTGCTGCTGATATATACCCATTTATGTGCAACATATATTTTTCCTTTGGTAGTGTCTAATTTTTCTTTTTACTTTATTTTACATGTGGAAAATCGGTATACTGATTTACGTTTCGCTCGTACCAAATGGCTATTGATAAATAGCCACGTTGCACAGTGGTCCAGAAATGCAGCTGCTTGTATAATATTCGTATTGGACATCAACGCGCGCATAAGTTGTGGCCTCGACTATAATTTATTTGAAGTTCATTTTTTGCTCATAACAATTAATAATTGGATCTGTTTGATTTGATTTTGAATGTAACAACGAAAACTAAAAAGAAAAAAATCAGACAGGACAGATAAAGAATAACTCTCTCATACTAAAAAAGACAACGCTAAACACTATTATTTTATTGCTGACTCTATTCACGCCCTAGTACGTTTTTACTGCTATGCATGCACTTTTCCACCTTTTTTCTCTACTCTTCTCATCTGCGATGGGTGTCTAATGGCATTAGAGCAACAGTAGTCAGTCGTTGTGCACGACACTCGATTTTAATGGAAAGAACGATTGAAATGATTTTGCATCACATGGGAGATGAAAAAATTGTCTGTCTAATTTAGTTTAATTAATTAATAAAATAAATCGCGTAGGAGAGCGTCCGGTAAAATCCATAAAATTAAAAATCACATACTGTACTAAAATGAGAACCAATTTTTTACTTTTGGTAAAAATACACTTAAATCATGGAATTCAATTTGTTCTGCTATTTACCTATTATTGGTATATTACCAATTTAATTCATGTTTAATTAAAAACATGAAACTTAGTTTTCGATTAGAAGTTCTCTTACATGATCTTTCGATTTTGAAGTTCGGATTGTTTGACACATTTTTTTAAATTTACTTACATTCAGCCAAATCAAATCCAATCTTTTCTGATCAAAAGAATTGAATAAAACAAAGCAACAAAAAAACACGTTTTCAAAAGAATGTTTATGGTTAAATGACCAATTAAACGTGTTCAATGAGAGCAAAACGTTCGATTTTCCATCAATCAATTGGGTGATAAGTATCATCAATGTACTTTTAACTAGCATAGTTTAATTTTTTTTTTCTCGTACGTTACAGCTTAAAAATTTAATTAGTTTGAAGTCAAAATATTACATTTGAATTCTCGAAATCGTTTAGATACCAAAGCAAACACAAAGAAATCCCAACGTTGTTCGGATTGATTCCATTTCTATTTGGTTGCATTGCAAGGTGGTGAAACATACACAATGAAATCAATTTTGTTTCTCATTGTTTTATATCGAACAAACGATCAATGTTCGAAAGTGAACATGCATCAAATTGAATCTATTGACCGTAACCAAACGCTCTCAAATGTCAAAATTAGACAAAATAAGAAAAAGCAAATCGAATAATATCAATTTGAAATTTCAATAAAAAAAACATAACTGAACTGTTTCTATTTAGTAAACAAAGTAAATCTGATCGAAGATAAGACGCGACTGATCATGAGGAATATTATAGAAACATTCAAAATGTGCGCACACACGCGCAACAGTCCTCCGCTTAACTAAACACTGTTCAAGTTAATTATCATCATATACTATATGAGAGCCTGAAACCCAAAACAAGTTATAAAAATTCTTTTCGGAAAAAAAGCATAAGAATGTATTTCAAATGAAAAAGGCGATTGAAGAAAACTGAGAGTTAAAAGAGCATATACAGAACTGAGAATTAAAACAGAATATAAATTCAGTTAGCGACAAAACAAACAATCGATATGTTATATTTTGACTCTCAGTTTTTATTCGTCTCATGTTTTTGATGAAAGCAAATATAATATTTATCGGTTCCAAATAAAAAGATAAACATTTTCAGTGCTAAAATGAGGGGAATAAAAACCGAGAGTTAAAATACAATTTACAGAATATAATTAATAATTGATATATGCTACTTTTGATCTCAGTATTCTATGTGTTGTTTTAACTCTCAGTTCTCTATATTCTCGTTTTGTGCTCAATAAATTCTTATGCTCTTTTTCCGAAAAGAATTTTTATAATTTGTTTTGGGTTTCAGGCTCTCATATAGTCTGTATTTTGTTTCTATTTGATTGATTTGAATAGTGAATACATTCATTGCACTGTTTGTACAAACATCGTTCGTACCTAAGGGGAGAATCACAAAAGAAAAGAATCGAATTAATTTAAAATAATCAATAAAACAACAACATTGATGTTCAGCAATTGCTTTAATTTGAGATTTGGTAGTTGTAATCGTCGATTTCTGTGAAAGAGAAAAAAAACCAAAATACTCACTATAGAATAGTTCTCCCTACCGTCTTAATACGATAGGGTTGGGTCACGCTGGTCACTTCCTAGATTAGAGAATGAAACAAACAATGAATATTAATAAATAATAAGCAAATATTACAGAGTCATATGAGAGAGTAATTTGAATTGCAATCAAATTAAAATGCAACCTACTAATAGAACGACCGCGGCTTAATTTCTTTTGCCGGGAAGAACACGATGCGGACCGGTGCGCAATTGAGGCAAACGAAACTGAACGATACAAATTCGATACGATAGAATGAAAATTCATTTCACAATGAAGAAAATGCAATGCGAAAAAAAACTTACCGATCCTTTGTATTCATATTTTTCGGGTTCTGACAACGCTTGTGGTCGGTTTATAAACGATTCCCAGTGTAAGAACTAAAAATGTGTCCATATTCTTCTTCGTCATTTGATGTGTCCGATTTGTTGTTTCTGCCAATGAATGAATGTTGAAAACAAAAAAAAATGAAAAAAAAAACATTCAATTGCATATCGTAGTCAAAGAAGGCTTTGAAAAATCATTAGAAACTGCGTCATTGACAGTGGCCGATATCGAACAGCGAATGCGTTAGCTACTATGCAAAATATGACAATTACCTTTTGTTGTTGTTACTGCTGTCGTATGTTCGTACATTCGCAACACCATGTTGTCGCTGTGACGATGCTCCGATGCTGTTGTTTGTTCAACATATCCACTACTATCAAATCTCAAATATTTGACAGCAATCTGTTATTTGCTGTTGCGACTTTTGTGTCTAACATATGTGTGTGTTTGTGGTCAAACTATATAGTTTCTTACATTCTAATGGTTTCCCAATCATCTATCACTCACTCACTGATCCACACACACAGACACTCTCTCTTTTTATTTCACATAGATTCAGTTTCCATCATCGTCATTTGACAATATCATACGTATATTACAATTAATGTATGAATGTGAATGACGATGATTGAAACTAATCGAAAAATAATCGTAAAACAATCAATAATAATAAATAAGCAGTTTTTAAGTGAATTTCCCATCGCTCGTACCATTTAACTCGATAAAAAGAATTATTCAATATACACTGAATTCAATCACTTGATTTCATACGTGTTTTTATTAAAAAAATAAATAAAAGGATCAATCCAGTAAAATATAACGCCAAATTTGTTTTGATTAATGGTTGAAATGTCTGGTTGACTTCATCTCAAATGCCATATTTTGAATTTTTTATGGTGTTGTTCTTCAAAATTTCAAATAAAGGAGGTTCTATAAATGATATTTTAAAATTGTTCGGCATTCATAATTTGAGCTTTCTAAAGGGGTAAAAAATTGAATTTGTAAGAAAAAGGAGTAGATGAAGTCGGTTGTATCTTTTACTCGCATTAGTATGCACATTCAAATTTGACATAAGACTCACTTTTGGCTGATCTGTCTCGCGGCTTATCTGTCTCGCAAATGAATATTCTATAAAAAAAAAATCTCGCAAATAAAAAGAGTGTATTCTGGAGATTGTGTCAGATGCTAAAATCATGAATAAAAATCAATTCACTTCGCATTCGATTTCTCATTCTCCTGAAATTCTATTCGTTCTGCTTCTTTTTTCTCATTTGTTTTCTTGATAAATTTTTTAGTTTCGCAACGGAGGCACTGCACAGTTAGTTCCCTTTCTTAGAAGCCGGATTCAATCGCATTTTTTTTTGTTGCAATACAACACGCAAATCGAACAACATGTTAAATGGAATTTTTCATCTTTTGAGAATCATTTGAGCTCGATTCAGGGAATATTAATTAAATATGGAATTCATGATGTTACTTGCTGCTGTGAATCTTTGCGATTATGCCGCCGTTGTGTGCACAGCACAATCGATTAAATAAAAAACACATTGACTTTGTTAAGGATGAGTGCATGCAATACAGTGTGTTTGCGAGGGTGTATGTGTAGACTGATGGGAACATAAAATGATTATTCAAAAGCATAAAACTAAAATGCAAAAGCATAAAACTAAAATTAATCACGAAAATTGATTATTTATTTATTGTTGACACGAAATCCACGTATCCTTTATCTGTGTAAAGCATACAGTTGCATCATAAGGTTTGTTTCACAGCAGGTGCCACAAAAATATATGAAACGCGATATGAAAAACAAAGAAATTCGCCATTTATATACCAACCGATATTTTCAATAAATTAGAGAAGCATCCATAGATTCTGACGTGGGTCCACAGGACCTATATTACCCCCCCCCCTGAAAAGCGGCTCAAAAATTACCCCCTTGATTTTTAAAAAATCACCAATTACCCGTGAAATTGAAAAACTCGACTGAAATTGAATTTTGTTAACCGAAGTCAAAGTGCGACGATGACAAGCAACGTTGAAAGTAGCGCCATGGTGCGGTTGCCAGCGAAACTAAAAAATGGCATACATTTCGATCGCCTAAAACCCAACATAAACAGTGAAGCCCATAATGAAGTTGCTGCGTTGCCCAGCTGTCATTGTCGTCGAGCTTTGACTGAAGTTGTCTACCCAGTCGACTTTAGTCGTCTTTGTATGTCATTTTAAACAGATGACTAATTTGGCACGTTTTTGTCTATATCAGTAATGTGCGAAGGGGGGGTTTACCCCTCCCCCCCTCCTGATTTTGATGAGAAAATTTTTTTCGCGAAAATTATTCGAATTTGCTAGGGTTTTTGATTCTAAAAGTGAAGACCTTTTTTTTAGCTCATCAAAGTAGAAAATTGAGGAGAATTCTTTCAATTTCCTAGGTTTTTTGGTTCAGAGTGAATTTTTTTTTCGCCTCAAAAAGTGACTTCTAAAAAAAAAAAAAAAACGAAAATTTGTCGGATTTGCTAGAGAAATTTTTCTAAAGAATTTCTTTAGAGAACCACCAAAATAAATCGAACAAAACATACAAAAATATTTGCTTCATAAATTGTCAGATCAGCAATTCAATTTTCGATCTGTTTTGTCGATTTTTTCTTTCAAAATATTTATTTTTGTTGTTTTTCAGAGATTAGATTTTTTGAACACTTTTGAATTTTTTTTGTAATTAAAACCATCCCCCTTAAAACTCAGAATCTATGGAAGCATCTTTTGAGTTTGCAAAAACGTATCCCGCACATATAATATGACCGATACAAAAACAATACACCATGGTTTCTTTGGATAAATATTTAATGCTCAACTTTTCATATCTAGTAGATAGACACTATCTTTATAGATTGAATTTAATTTTTGGAGCCGCGACGCCTAAAATTCGTTGCCATATTTAAAGCAATTGCGTGAGTATTATTTAGATTGAAAGGTGTCCAATGGTGGGTTTGATTGGGAAACTTTATCATCATAAATGAACAAACCTTACTTCGAATGGCATCTGATATTTGTTTGCTTTTACTGTGCAACTGAGAAAATTGTATCATTAAATGGCGCTTTGCTTCAAAATGCACGCTAAAATTGGCTAAATGATTTCACGAAACTCATTAGCATAAGGTACTACATGATTTTGATATGCATTAATTGTAAAGAAAACATTGGCCATACAAAGGTGCATTAATTCGCCGTTGTTGTGTTTATCTTAACAAAAAAAATCGCAAATGAGTGACATAGCAGAAAACCAAATGTGCTATGGATTCGTTTGGTAAAAGCAAATCATTTTTACCTTGGGTGGTCTACTCGTTCATTTTCTCTTGTTGATGTTGTTGATGTGGCTGTTACTATTCCCTCATCGTACCGGTACGCTCGAACCAAAAAGTAATGAACAAACATTATGTCAGCCGTCAGACAACCCAAAGTAGCGTTGCTTGTGTGTCATAGAAAATAGATTATGCTTATCAGTTGCATGAAATGGGCATGCATTTGATTGAAATTAAAGTAGCTTAAAATGATAAAAAGGCAAAAAATTGAGCGCAACAGAGCCGCCTCAAGACTTTGGAGCACTATATTTTTTCTAAAAACAAATAATTGGTGTAATTTTAATTTTCTAAGCAAATCAAATTAAGCTTTGATATGAATATGACAAAAGAAAACAATATTTTGACAGAATATCAAAACCCCATCAAAATTACGTTGGTGTGAGTGCTTTTATTAATTGAAGCAAAAGTGATTGACGATCAAAGTTGGACCCGGTAAAATTTACGCCCGAAAATTGCAACACTTTTGTAAACCCGAGGGCCAGAGCTACTGTTCCAATCGACACTGGCGAGCACGCTGGAATAATAAATGCGCATGCGCCCAACACTCGACGCGTAAATGTAGAAAACCTCGGAAAAACAAAAAAAATACGAACGAAAAACGATAAACATTTACCGTATATTCTCCTGGAAATATGTAGAAACAGTTCAGCATATTTCATTTAATCTTATAATTGAAATCTTTGAATATATTTTTGTTATGTAGATATTTGGATGCTGTAATTCAAGTGTGCGAACGATATCACTTTGTACGTGTGTGTGTGCATTTTTTAGCATCAGCTTCTCATCGAAAAAAATACAAAGAAGACGTCGACTTCTGTGTGTAAGGATTTGCATAAATTAATCGTTCCATTTATGTTCATCAATTTTAATTGGTATGAATCAAAGGAAAGAAATGCTACACATATTCTCACTGTGAATATAAGAAAATGAAGCACAAGCCAGGCAAACGAATAGCGGAACGAAAAAATCGGATTACAAGTAACATATGGAGAAACATGTTTGAAAATAATAAAAATAAAAAATACCGAGAGACAGCAGTGCCAACTCACTTTTAAATACTTTACTTTTTGTGTAAGTGTGTTTTTCTCGCTCGCATCTTCTGGGATTGATTTCCATCGGCGAATGGCGTACATAAGCCTTGTGTCGAGTTTAAATTAAAGAAGTATGTTTTTGATTGACTATCTCATATGCACTGGACGACGTGTTTTATATTATTTACAATTAAGACTGTTGCTCAATATGTTCATCATGAGTCCACCCTATTATTTATTTATTTCTCTTTTTCCCTTCAATTCTATCAGATTTCACTAGATTTCGTTATTGTTTTTCGGAAAATCGGTTTGATGCAAATTGTAGATTCGTTTGGCAAAACAGACTAAACAAAATTTTAGTTTATATTTGCGTCATTGTTTTATTTTTTATTTAAATTTCTCAAATACAAGTAATTCTAAGTTACGTGCAGTGGTTTAAGCTGCGCAAATGTGATGTTAATGCATTTTATCTGTGGCCAATTTTATTTGATACTGTGATCGTTGAAAAGCGAGGAGAAAGAGCGAGAGAGATAGCAAAGAAAAACAGATTTAAACGAAAAAATGTATATAAACACACACACACACACACATACACACACACACACACACACAAATGGGCCAAATCGAAATGTGATGAAACAACGCAATGCATACAATCGAACTTAATTTAAAGAAGAATAAATGACGAGTTAAAGCGCAAAAATGTGTATTATCGTAAAACTTAAAGAAATGCAAATGAGGCTATTAAATACGACTTATGCTCGTACACACTCTCCCTCTTTCTTTCTGTGCCATTTTATAGAAGCGAGAACTGAAAAGCAAATTCAAGGAATAAATGCAAGCAGAAAGTAAAAAACCAACCAAAGTGTCAGTTGAATTTAAAGCATTTACAAAACATCAAATAAAATCACACTTTGTGACTTCATCGTCTTAAGAGTCAACATGTTACATTTGGGCTGTGGAGTTGCGTTTACCATTTTTGTATTTTGTCAAATGCAATAGCTTGTGATGAGAGAGAGGGAACATTGTATCTTAAATTTTATGGAGTGCATTTTGCATGCATGTTTTGCACATTAAATTCATTTAGTTTCATTAAAGCGAAATGCTGTTTACTTTAATTAGAGAAAATTTCATAATAGCAATGTTTTTTCAAATGACTGCCCAACTGAGTGCACCGAAATTAGAAATGTTTGTGCCCTCGAAAAACATTCAACGAATTAGCAGCTAAAGTTCATTTGATTGAGAAAATTTACATGTACTTGTCACATGATTCACATTTTCTAACCGCATTTTATCAGATCGGATCAATTGCACGATGACGACGACGACAACAACAGCAACTTACTATCTGTCACAGTTTGGGCTGAAGAAGCTGCAGGCGCATTCAAAAGAGACTTGATCAATTTCAAAAGAAAAGAAGATGTTGACAAAAACAACGAGATATAATGATCGAAACAAACAACAAACGTGAAACAAATGAGATGAACAAACGTCACATCAAGCAGCGACTCAGCAACAAAAGCACATTGTTTTCTGTCAAACTTATCGTTCTGCATTACGAATGTCTCCAGAGCATTACCAGTGAATGACGAATGTACACCAAACAAACGCCAATAATAATGAAAAAAAAAAAACAACAAATACACAAGTAAGTCCAACAAGAGACACCGGCAATAGGCTGTTCAAATATACAAAAAAAAAAGACATAGAGAGAGAGTGCGAGAGACATAAACTCAGCAGAGCTGAAACGTGATTCAGTAAAAAACCACCCAGATTAAATAATGTGTGTGTCTGCTCATGTGTTCACGATGTGTTCTCTCTTTTTCTCTCTCTTGCTGATTTTCGACTGATTTGTATATTCCTTCAACATGGTGATGGCTGCTTATTTATAAAAAAAACAGAGATCTGCATATTTCTTGACATCGGTTTTTTTTTTCTTCGCGAGAGCGGCTCATCACGCGTTTACAATGACGAGATTCAAAATACAAGCAAGAGCGGTATTCTTGAAGTGTTTGCATTGAATTTTCAATGTGCATAAATGATGCCTAACCAGATCAAGCTAAACCAATATATGCATATGTGTGTAAAATATAAAACAATTTTGTATTCCATCTCGAATCACTTAGAAATCGAAAAACAATGTACACGATATGAGATCGGCTTTTGTCTGTTGTTTTCTCTCAATCGCACTGCCTCTCTTGCACTTTTTTTTTCTTCGTTTCGTTGCATCATGTCTTTTACAGTAGACGTGTGTCGTATCATTGTGATATGGTCGCGCAAGTTATGTCTAGAACAGAGTATTTCATATAGAGTTGTCATGAATGTGTGTATTGCAAACAGTGAAACAAACGCGACGGATGACTGCAATTGTGCTGTTCATTATTTTTAATAAATAAATTAATGCGTGGGCGGATGTTGAATTGAAACGCTTCTGCTCAACTTTGTACAAGTTTTTTTTATCTTTGTTTTTATTTTTATTTTATTTTTTTTGTTCAACGAGATTTTTGAGTACCCATTTAATAATACTCTATATGTCAATTTAAAGTTAACGAGCGTGCTGGGTAACCAAACGCATGTCGTCATTAATAATGCTTCATTTTTCCACTCAATCGCATGTTTAGGCTCTTTTTTTCTCTCGGTTTAATTACATCGTTGATTGAATTGTCGGTCTGTACAATACTGTGTTTATAGCGTATGCGAATTAAATGGTCATCTTACCTTTAAAGCCAAATTTCCAAGTGCAAATTTAAAACAAGAACCATCATTCTGATTTATTTCAGTAGATTGTTTATTCTTAATTTGAAGACTAGTAGCATATTATATCTACTATTCGATTTTTTTTATAAATTTAAAAATTATTATAACACTAGAACAAAATATTATTTGTTTTCTACAATATTTTATTTCACACTCGTTTAAAATAAATCGCGGATTGCTTTTGCATTCGAAGCATATGGGTTTGAAACAGTTTTTAATATATATTTAATAGAATTGAAATTATCAACTTTCGTATTTATTTACAATCACAAAAGTTTACTAACTAATACTTTTCTGCAATTGCATAAAAATTTGTTTTAAGAACTAAAAACAATCAAATCGAATGACATTTCTTGAAGAAGTACATTCATTTGATTCAAAAAAATGTCTATGTTCACATCACATTATTGTTTTTATTGTTGTAAAACAGAAACTGGTGTGGGTTATTTGAAAATATGATCAAATTTTCTTTTTGTTTGAAAGAAACAGAAAATATTGCGTTTTATGTATCCAAATTTTCTATTGAAGAATATGAATATTGGTGAAAACTAAAACAATTGAAATTAAATTTAAAATGAAAACGTGTATTGCTGGAGATGAACAATTTGTTTATTTTTAATAGATCATAGTTCATTTAAAATCGAAAGAAGGAGGCAATTTGATGCAAAGTTTAATTTCGTTTGTATAAAATTATATAGATATTTGAATACCTTTTTTTTTAAATCTGTTATTATCACAGCTAACAATATGTTTAGTTGTATTGGTTTTGTATATACAATAAATTCGCTTACTCTTTTATTAATTTATAATTGAACTTCCATTTGAATCGTTGTAAAAATGATAAATTTAATTTTCCAATCAAAATAAAATATTTTTCGCATTTCAATATTCGCAAGCATTTATGTTTCATATTATTTTGCGTTAATTGAATTGAAAATATTTGTTCGACATATTTAGATATGGCCGAATTGATGTGTCTATCGAAATAAGTTTGTTATTTTATATGGAGTACGTAGGCTCATGGTTTGGCATATTTCGAGGTATGAAACCTGATCCAAAGCATAATAAGACCGTATTTTTAGAAGAAGATGACGTAAAATACCGTGTATTCTTTTCGTTTATGTACACTTACATTGAATTACAATAAAAACTAATAGCGCACTTGTGATTGCTTACTTAAGAACAGAGTATAGTTCCCTGATTCAATTCCCTTTAATTCCATCTTCGTGAAGTTTGAATTCCAGTGTATCAGTTCAGTTCATTTGTAGTGCTTGCGGTGAACAGAGTTTGCCATTCAAAATATTTGGATATAAATGACAATGAAGTGATAATAATCGTGTTGGATCGATTTTATCATCGAATCCATCAATAAGTAAAACGTTTGTATTATTCTTTATGTGACCGTAGCTAAATGTGACCTGTTCTTTGAACGTTTCTTTGGGAAGAATGTCCATTGGTTCCAAGTGTGAATGAAACGTTTCGATCACAGTCAATGGCACTTTCAATAGGTGTTCGATGATATAGCCCATTGTTACATCGTCAGGCAATCCAATACGATCACCAATCGACATGAATTTACCAAAACCAGCAATCGGTAGCATTTTCAATGCCAGCGTTCGACTTATGCAAAAACCGGCACCACCTGTTGCAAACACAAATGAAATTTTCTTATGCGGTTGCTTATCGTCATTCTGTAAGGAAAAGTTGAAGAAATAAAAGAAGAAGAAGAAAAAACACACACACAACAAGTTAAAATGTGATTCGAAAAATTATACACATGGAATGCAAAAACTTGCATTTTTCTTATATAAACATGAACAAAAAATTTCTGATAAAAAAAGATGTGCAGTATAACGATACTTACATTATCTACATAGATTTCAAGTGGCGATGCTATACTCGGTTTTCCCAAATACCAATCCAATGTTGGGCTGTAGTTGCTAAGCAGTTCAACTAATTTTGGTATATTCACATAATTGTCGTCATCAAAGTGACAGAACCATCTGTAATGAGAGTAGAAAAAAGAGATAATTTATTTTGAACATAGCTCTGTATTGAGAATGAAATTTGTTGTAAATTATACTTATATGTAAATTATGTAACATTTGGCAAAAAAAAAATGTTGACCATGATAAATCATTTGTTTGTGTTCCTGTTTCGCAAAGTTTTAAATGCGCAACCCTTGTCAAACAACAAATTAACAAAAAATGAATATTCTATTTTTGGTTTTGTAGTCCGTCTGACATCAACGTTTCATTTATTATTTATTACTTTGTTCAGTTTTGACACCCTTCACATTCTTGGTACACACAAATCGAATTCTTTTAACGATGAATAGCAGGCTGACTGGCACCGGAATGACGACGACTCAGTCATTTGAAATATTTCGAATTTAATCAGATTAAGATGGTGCATGAAGGAGATAGATGTTTGTTTTTGCACGAAGTATTTCCCTTTTTTTTATATGGGTGCACACATATCAACATGTGAATGAAGGCATGTAATTTGACTAGATCTTACTCTCGTAAACAGAAAGCTATTTTCATTAAAGTACGCTATAACGATGTTATGTGTTTTGAAAGTTGGCATTTCTTTCTCGTGAAAGACATGATTTAGTAGTAAAAAAGTGAAATAAATATGTTTTGAGTATCGCACCAAATGTTTGAATTTTGAAAAAAAAAAAAAAAAAACAGAACAAACACATTTGTTCGATTATTGTTTCGCTCGACATGTATATCTTCTTAGTGTTAAATCCTTTTCAAAATGGATATTCAAAACAACTCACGCAGCGAATCGAATTATTACAAATACTTCTTGAACAAATCATCTTATATACATCATTTCAATCAAAATAAATTCTTCACCCTGTTACAATAACCAAAACGGTATGTGTGGCATAAAGAAATTCTCATACTGTTGTTACTGTTCTTCCAATAATAAGTTTCGTAGTTCAACACATGTTAGTGTCAACTATACATTTCCATTGGGTCAACAGAAAACAACAATAACGAAAATACCAACATTTCGAAGTCGAATCATTGTATGTATTTGTCATTGATACGCACAAAGTCTGACCGCGCACTAAACAAAAAAAATGTCGTTTGCCAATTTTAAATGTGACTGCATGTTCATCGCAATATTATTTAAAACACTTTTGAAATGACGCATTTACTTCCAGGAAGACATTTCTGAAAATGTCAACGAATTTTTACGATGAATTAATGACTTGTAAATAAAACGAGCAACAAATATTACGATTTCAAATGATTGTATATTGCAAAATATCGTTTTTTTTTACATAAAAAATATTTCTTAAAAATGTCAGAAAATGCTAATTGTTCAACGGTTTTGTATAGCATAAAAGATAGATGACAGTTTTATCTTTGCATAAATTGAAAAATTATAAGCAGCATTGAAAATCGGATTGAAACGCACAGTTCTCTGTTGTTGTTGTTAATTGAATCGGATTAAAAATGAAAAGTGCTGTGATTTAATGGTGCGAAGAGAGGCAATTCGAATGTAAACTGACATGAACAACTGCCGATTTTATCTGTTTTGCAAAATTTTTGTGGGATCACTTTTTTCGCCACACATTGACATGTGACATATCAAGAGTGAAAAAAGGCAAAAAAAAAATAAGAAGAAACATACAAATACAACATAGCTATAGACATTTGTTGGTTTCGTTTAATCGTTTCTCTTTTTTTGTCAGAAGTTTATGTTCCTTTGCCTTCGTATTTTCGTCAAAAAGCAGTCGTAGTTATATACGCGTAAAGTCGTAGTTATATACGCAATCAACAGTTACAGTTATAGACATGAATGCAATTAAATGCTTGTAAGTACTCATGTGAATTACTACGGCACATTCATATTTCCATGGTCTTTGCGCTGAACCAAAAAAAATATGACATCCATGTTAGACTTTATGTTGATGCAGTCAGATTACAGCGTGTAACGTGTGCGACTCATTGCGCATTCAAAATATAGTCTTTATATTTTCCATTTAAAGAATTTAAAGAAAAAAAATGAAAGAAAATGTGAATCCGTGTAAAATGAAGTTAAGACGATAAATTTGCGTTTCTCTGCTATAAATGGAGCGTGCATTTGTTATTTTCATGCTACTTTTCATTGAAATTCATTTTAGTCCCGTCTATAAAAATACGCATTAATTCTGCAATGAACGAACATAAGCTTTTTAATGTAATGCAACATCTGTAATGTGGTTTGCGACTTTGTAAGATCACTTTAGCGAAATGATAGAACGAGCAAGAATAACAATAAACCTGATCGATTAAAATCAGCAGGTTTAAATGAAAGTATACAAATGATATGTTATCATATCTTTTTTGCATTTCATATGCAATACGTTGCGTCTTTGTTCTTGCACACAAATCGGAATCGATTTAAAATAAAAAAAAAGAAAGATACGAAAAAAAAACAGCAAAAGAGGAATGCTGATTTCTTTGCAGTAAATTTGGTGCATCTATATTGAGATGAAAAGGCAGATAATTCAGTTGAAATTGGCAGCGACAGTGGTTAAAATTTATGTTTGCCAT